TGCCAGAAGTCCTTGTAAAGCGTGCAGCTAAGTCCCTCAAGTCTGGAACCGCTCACCTTATGCCCGCCAAAAATGTAGAATTGCAAAATAATGGGGTCCATAAAAACAGCAAAACGACCGACCCACTGATTTTTAATGATCACCCGGGCCTCTTAGCCCGTGAAGGTGGATAAACACCCTCTCCGTCTAACTAATCCCTCGTCTCGCCGTGGGGCAGTCGTCGGGTGAATAGTGGGGCCGTGTCGCGCCTGCTAGAGTGGATGACGCATGCTGTCGCCCCTATAGTAATTAACCGTGCTCCCCTCATCAAGGCTTATTGCCCGCTGGTGCGCTAATGGCTTGATCGCCGGCAAGAAAGTTGTTAATTACCGAAATTCATTGATATTTTGGCAGATTCTGAATAATTCATATTGACCCAACTGTGAAAAACTTGACCAAAATGTGATTAAACTCGCGTCGTCCGGCGGGGCCTCGTAGCTCAGGTGGTTAGAGCGTTGGCTGCGCTAAAGCCTTCCCCTTACTGCGTGGGTTCGAATCCCACCGAGGCGCCGAGTTTTTCACAGTTGGGTCTAATGTCTCTGAAGATGGATTCGAGTAAGGATCCGAAACGTCAGGCAAATAAATTTCTTGTTCCGGTGATCGCATCTTCATCTTCTGAACATTACTTATGTTCAATGTCGGTGTTTCCGACAGATTACTCTTTATGCCGAAGACTAGGAATTCAGATCAGGCACAGGGGAATGGTTAGCTGACTGCACACATTCAACCATTATTGGCCCCATGTGGCCTGCCGTCTACCGTCTTTATGGACGCAGTGGTCCGAAACTCCGTGGCGATCCGTCTAATATTGCAATAAGGTCCACTTGGGAGGCAATCACCGCTTATTTAAATAATAAATTGGAATAAAGACAGTCTTAGATAAAAGTTTGCGCTTTTGCCGATATGCTTGGCCGACCGATAGGCAACAAAGAAGACAAACAAAGATGGCCTCGCTCGCGCAAATTACACTTTGGACTTTAGACAGCGTAGTCTCTGTGCAATTAATCAGTATCATGATTTATAGGGCTTGCGTTAAGGCTGGGGAAATTGCGCCTAGTACTGGCAGTTCATGGCCACCGCCGAACAAAGTGCGGTCTGCGACTGTCGTTTAACGCGTGGAGCCTGCAGGGACAGCGAGCAGCAATCAGAGACCACCCACTCGTGAGAGCACGAGCGCGCTTTCTTCTGTAGGCGTTCGCAAAAGCCATTCAGCTCCCAAAAACTCTGCTCATATACTTTGATGCAGCGAATCAGTCAATCGTCTTCGCTGCCCTGTCTTGCTGGAAATTATGGCGCTCGGTTTCATTACGTAAAGTAGGCCTGGGCTCTATGTTGAAGAGTTGTCGCTCAGGTTCTGCTAACTCACTAGGACAGCAGTAGGTGCAACTGTGGACACCGAAGGATGCTTTCTGCGCTCGAATTGCTGGGGACGTAATATTCAACATCCGGCCCTGTCAGACAATATTGGCAATGGTAGCTGATAGAAAACGAATGCTTGCAGTAAATGACAACGGAACTACAACGATCGACAGATGATAGCCCTATAAGTTCCGTTCGCGGCCCTTGAAGGGCAAGGAAGGAGGGTAATAGCCTATTTATGCTGTGGTGGGAAGGGGACTTCACTGAATTGCGCTGTCCCTACCTAGCTTCTATGCCGGAACATTCTCCCATGAATACGACGGCGAGCCGGCAGCTATTATAGAACGTTAAGCAGTAGCGGAGGCCTCTGAAAAGACAGTACCCCTGTGGAGACTGGCTGCCAACTGAAGTATACGGGAGTTGTTATGCTGCTAACCCTGAGCACTTTCGGAAGACATTTTGATGAGTGCGGCTAATTGGGGCTGCCTCACAGAATTGGAACAATACTGCTCTACTTGTCTTATTCAAGAACATAAACAGAGCAAATACCGCAACCACAAAGAAATAAACCTTGTGAGGGTCCCCTTGAGCCGTTTTCGCTTGGTCGGACACGAATGGACAGGGAAAAATTATTGTGACTTTGTCTCTGGCAAATGCTGTGTTTTTACTGTACGACAAATCTTAGAGTCAGGCAACTGTTTTTTACAGAGGGTGATCGTCTGCTTCTCAGCTGTTATTTCACCATGCGACTCGGTCAGCCGAAGTTTTATCTGGAAGGCCGTGGGAACCCATGGCATGCTGACGGAACGTGTGATCTTGAGCAAAGTATATCATCAACTCACACGAACAAAAGATCAGCCGTATGGTAGCTGGAGAGAGTTCTTCGCTGGCGTCTAAAAATCTCATCGGTCCTTTCCAACCACGATCTCGTGGTGTTAGCAGAGCTCCATGACTACCAGGACATCCACTTTTGGTAGGAACTTTTCGTGTCGAAATCCGACCATGCTAAAGACATCAGTCTTATCTGAAATGCGTTTACAAAGATGGACGCCAAATATGCCTTCTTATGGAGTGATGTTCAAATGCAGGGCGATGAGACACCACAGTCACTTTTGCCATCAGAAATGACGTCATGAGACGACTGCTTTGCCTGCCGCAGGACACCAGTGACGGTCTAATGACTATGAAACTGCCACTCTGCATTAACTACGACCGGGAACAGACGTAAGTTTTGGAGAAGAATGCCAGAATCGACATCAAGTGGAAGTTGCTGTCGGATACCACTAGACCATTACCATGGAGACCCTTGATCATGCCCATAAACAGCACCAGGACTGGCTTGATTGTAATGAAGAAGAAGAAGACGACGACGAAGAAGAAGAAGAAGAAGAAGAAGAAGAAGAAGAAGAAGAAGAAGAAGAAGAAGAAGAAACCCGCTACACACCATCAACGACAGTAACGCCAGTAAAGTAGTATACTTCCGATGCTGAAATCTAGTAGAGCAGAGGTTCAAGACAATGCAGAACGGCTGGCTGACTCGCTGAATTTAGGAGATCTAGAGATATACAGACCGCGATGAAGTGAAGAATTCCTTCGCGTCCGTCAAAGCAGTCTATGGTCCTCAAGCCAGGGGGGCCGCTCCACTTCTTAGCCAGGACGGAGTGATCCTACTGACGGAGAAATTACAGAACCCGGATCACTCGGATAGACGCTTTCAGGGCGTCCCGACCCATCCCCCCCCTCTCCCCCCCCCCACAATATATGAAGAGATCATCAACCGATTTCCTCAAGAGGACACCAATAACAATCCCCACGCTCTGCCCTCCCTCCCAGAAGCAATAAGAGCAGTGCAACAGCTGTCCATGCAATCCTCAACATAAGTTTACAAGTACGGCAGACCACAACTCATGGAAAAGCTTACCAGGAAATGTGCTGACAGGGACATATCCCCTAAGACCTCAAGGATTTCACCATCGTGCGCATGTACATATATAATGCGAACCGGCAACTCTATGATAACTGTTGAGACAGCTCTCTTCTCAACACCGCCTCGCCTCGCCTTTAGCCTTGCTTTACCAACCTTGCTAAATGGGCGCTTACATGTGATCGATATTATATACTAAACCAACAAACACCTACTTAACCTATGGTGTACGCAAATATTCAAGGTTAATTTCTAAGAACTCCTATTCGCGGACGACCTGAACGCCGAACACCACAGCCGAAGAGGACATGCAGTGGAGCGTGGACCTCTTTGCCCCCGGCTGCTCAAAATTTGGACTGACCATTTGCACGGAGAATGCAGTGACCATATACTGACCGAGGTCAACTGATGGCTATAGGTAAACCATAGTAACTGCCAATAGAGCAATCTCCATATCTGTGGTCAAATTTGCATATTCAGGGTGTACCATCGGAGGAAACATCAATATCAAGGCTGAAACCATAAAGCGGATCCCCAAAACCAGTCTGACCTTCGGTAGACTGGGGCACTCAGACGGAAATCGCCGTGACCTCCGTTATTTTCCTGCCCGCGCTCCTGTACGTGGCGAAGGCGTGAACAGGGTACTACGGCTAGGCAAGGAAAGTCCACTTTAAGCCCATTCGTTTAGGACGCATACCGAAGGTACAGTATGAGGAAGGGACTCCCCCAAACCGACCTCCCTGAGGGGACGGACTTGTTTAAAGTCTACGCTACCGTGAAGCAGGTTCAACTGCAATGAAAAGGTCACACCGTGAGGATATCTGGCGAAGGCTTGTTAGAGCGAATAAATTACGGTTACGTAGGTACAGAGTGTGCATGGACCATACAGACGAGACGACTATACAAGGACGCCGTGGACGCCTCGCGCGAGCATCTGAAAAGAATTCGCAAGATCCGAGAGTACCTCATGTAGGATCAGGAGGCTTTGCAAACTACCACGAAAAATCGTAGCAGAAATCGTCGAAGTCAGAGGAGTAGTGGAGGCCAAAGTTATGAGAACGGCATGCAGAACTCGAATGTCACATATCAATGTCATAAGTATTCATAGACTGCCAACATGCCTACACTGTCGACCGCCGTTCAGCGTGCGGGCTGTTCTCGGTGACTTTCAAGTCCACCGCAATATCAGCATGACCACCCCACCTCCTACACCACAACTAAAACCAGAATATTCGGTTAGGTCAGCCTTTCCGACTGCTCTCCCCAGAATAATGCGTTCAAATCCCGATTTGGCATGACCGGAAGTCTTCATGCCCACTGCAATGTGAACGTCCCCGACACACAAAAGACGCCTCGCCACCACCACCACCACCACCACCATCACCACCACCACCACCACCACCATAATGGCCGTCGTCGTCGTCGTCGTCATCATCATCATCATCATCATCATCATCATCATCATCATCATCATCATCATCATCATCATCATCGTCGTCGTCGTCGTCGTCATCATCATCGTGACTGAACATAGAGTCGCTTTGCCCACAATGAGACATCACATCCGAATTATGCGTTGACCTGATTTGTGGCCTGAGGATCCATCACACGGGAGCGCCAGCGCCTGGAGCTTTGACGGCCATCCGACACATCCTCCCCCTGGTTACATTGTTCTTAGATATTCAGACATCACGGGGCCTGTTCGACCACATGGGTATAGATGAAGACATTGTGTAAACATCACACGAACACTCCTATGCCATGTACTGCCCCACGCAGTAACTGTCGTCAACCTGTCAAGTATTAGCAGGGCTCCATACATCGACCGTTAATTATCCATGTGATGCAATTTGCAATAGTCATTAGGGCGGACGATATGCCAAAATGCGTAGATCCCAATTCTGAGTTCTAGTGAATTCTGGCCATGTGGAATGAAGGATCAGCATATACGGTAGACGTGCTAACTCGTGCAATATTTACCGAAATTCTGAAACGCGTTTTCGACTCGAAAAGATTGCTTAAGTAGGGTTGTAACATTAATCATCGTGCAGCATACTCCCAAGATAATTCAGACCATATGGGTTCATTAAATTTAGCAGTAGATTTCATCCATATTGTAAACATTACAAGCAACATTAGGTAATGCAGAGGCAGGCTGTTTTATGAACGGGCATTTCGAGGTCTCGAAAAATCCCATAATTAGAAACTTTTTAAAACCGAATTATATCCTTCCCTAAAGTAGAAAATTTGAAAAGGACGCAGTTTGCTACCAAATGAGTAAAAAAATAAAAAAAAATATGCATGTTTTCTATGAATGTAGAAGGGCATCAAAATTCAATGACAAAGACTCGTACCACTGAAATAGTCATTTTTTAAAGAATGCAGTTTTTGCAGGCGGCTGGAAAGAAGTTCGTTCCAAAGCCGGCATCCTGACGTGACAGTAATATGTTGGGATTATGCTGCACGGTACTTAACGTTACAACCCTACTTAAGTAATTTTTTCGGGTCAAGAACTCACTTGAAAATTTCGGTTAATATTTCACAAGTTAGCACATCTACTATAGGTGACGCGCGTGGGTGGAGACAATCGTGCCACGTCAAAAACTGGGTCCAATCTCATACCCATTGGCCCGACAACCTCTGACAGGCCGCTTATGCATGGGAGGGAGAGATAGGTCGTTCCTGAAGAGTCCTCGCCTATGGCCAATCACTGCACTCCTCACCTTGATAAATCTGACGTGCATGAACCTACCACGTTACGCTAAAGGTCGTGGCTTGGTAGAATAACTGGGTGCTCCACTGGAGGGAGGATCAGCATGTAATTGCTTATTACTACTACGGCCTCTATGGCACCCTCACACTAACGTGGGATCTGAGACGCCTTGAATGAAGTGGCTAACGACAAGGTCGTGTGTGGAACGCCCAAACCGGTTGTATAGCCGGTTGTCAGCCGTCACGCCCACACTCCGGGTCGTCTTTGTCCTGTCTTACAGTAGGGACGTGACAGATGTGGGGAGGGAGGGAGGGTGTGCTAAATGCAACGCAAGTCGGTTTCACCATAAACCATATTCACGCACACACAAGTCATTACAGCACCCACCTCGTTGTGCACTGTCGGCAACGGCTGAACCGTCGTGTCGGCCGCTAAAGAGTAGACTCCCTGCACTTCGTGATAATCCGAACTGCAAAAGACCCCATTTTGGAAAATTTATTAACAATACGACTTGACCTCGGAGAAAATCTCTTTATGATGTCATAGGTCAGGGCTTATACCAAGGTGAAACTCCATCTCAGATGGAAACAGATCTCCACGAACAAGGCCTGCGACCAATGTTCACAAGTACTATGTTTGCAGAGAAACGTGTTGCGGTAAAGACTTTCGCAGTTTTTGCCTAAGCAAAATCCAGGAGAACAACAGGGAAATTTTCCGTGGATGGGCCTCAGCTACATGTATTAGTGTTTCAAATCATTAAATAAGCAACCACAGCGTACTTTTCACCTATGGATAGTTTCCCATTTCTTTCCTATTTATCGATACTATGCTGCTGTCAAAATTTCACCCCAATGTGACTTTACTAATATTTCACAGGATCTGCATGTTAAACCCGTTGTGATCACGGAAACGTCATCATCAGTCATTCCCAGCTGGTCTTCATAAATCAGCAGAAATCAGTCCGACAGTGGCGAGTGTGGTTCTCTGTTGCTCTGTTGATCTACATTGTTCGTTACGCATACGCATAGGAGGTATGAATTGTTGAATAGTTACTTTTGCCACTAAGATTTGGGGTAATATCGGTAGTGGTGCCAACAGCGTCGGTCTTGATTTGCTGAAAAGATGACCAAGCTTATGACTTCTATTGCTCAGCACCACTGGGTGTACTGTACTTCGTTGGCGAGATCCGGTCATGATTACTTTGATAAGAATTTAGTGTTTGGATGTTAAGATTCTTAAAACTATTCGTTTATCACTCTAGATCGGATAAGACTTCCGTATTCAGACTGCCCGCAATCAAGGGATAGTTTATAAATTTTGATGAGGCCGTTCTTCCCACAACCCTCGGCAATTTTGAGACCACATGTAACCAGGCCTCCTTGCATCGTGAAACTCGGTTGTAAAACCTAGGCCATATTCCCTCGAGTTATTCTTTGAATTTGTCGCAAAAGCCAACCTTCGAGGCTACCTATCGGAACTCCACATTCCTCAAGTGAAGGTGGACGTTCAGTCCACCACCAGCATTGTACCGCCAATCAGCCTTGCTTTGGTGCTTGAAGGGTTCAAATTCACTCATTTTGATTACGAATACTCCTGTAGCAAAGCCACCTCACTCTATGACGGATGCGCTGGCCCGCGGTCAGTCGACTGTCTTCCGAGCGGACACATTAATGTTCAGACTGTAGCATCCGTTTATGCCTGAACCGCTTAAACACAAGCAGCCTAGATTTATCTCTGAGGCACAGCCGATACCGCAGATACTCTCTCCCTCTCTCTCTCTCCTTCTCTCTCTCTCTCTCCCTCTCTCTCTCTCTCTCTCTCTCTCTCTCAGGTATGAACTAGTGTCGTCAGCGCATTCCCTGACAACGTTAGCAGCCACCGCGACCTGAAATAACAATCCAGAGTTTTGTATGCACTAAGTTCTCCACTATGGTGTCTTCCCACTTCTGCTAAATACGACCTTGGTTCATGATCATGACGCTCAAAGTATACGCAAAACCCCAAACGCCACAAATGCGCACCTGCTCCTCTTCTCAGTTTAGATGGTGAGGCTATGGTAAGTTCTTTCCATCGCTGTCGTGAAGTCAACGTTAGTGGATATCCCTAAAAAGAGTCTCGATCGAGCAACGTCCAAAGACTAGCTTGCACAATTACAACATGAACGTCTCCCTTTAAATCCATGCCTAGATCTGTACCAATGTTTTTACATAGTATGTAGGGTTTCTAGTCTCACACGTAGTTTTGCTCAATAAAATGAACTGAACCGACTCGCGGTACCCTCTCCCAACACATCTATTAGCGTGGCAGTTCTGCGTGGATGCATGTCGCGGGTACTCCCTATACATTCGTTAGAACGGGAGTGCTGTGTTTTAAGGCACAGAATTCAATTGACGTACACTTCAGAGTATTTAGGCCCCAGATCACTCCTTTTGTGAGCACAACGATACTGTCTCTGTGATCTCGCAAGATGCGCATGAGAAAAATCAGTTGTTTGTTCCAGCTTTCGTTGCTTACTGTCACACTTCAAGAACAGTAAGCGCGACTGTTTTTCATCGAGACGGCTTAATATATTCCAAACACCGGTATTAGTTAAGGGCTCAGATATATGTTTGCCCGATTTTCTGCAGTATCCCGAATAATATCAGAGAATTTAGCCTTTTCTCGAATTTTTTGCGTTCCTCATGAGATTTATGGTCCCAAAGACATTACTCCCCACGCCGGATTCCCACAACCACTTACAAGAAACCAACATGGAAGGTATTATTTGAGAAAAAAAGTAATTAGCGTCCCAACTGACACCTTTACGGCTTTGTAGGTCCTAGCTTCAACCGCTACCTTAAAAATTGGAGCAGGGCTGGGAAAATAGCCTTTATTTTGGACAGAGGACAGGGCCGTCCACAGGCTGCAGTTCAGTCGAACCGGCGGGTGTCTGTCTCGTCTGTAAGCGCGTCAAGGGAACGCCAAACGGTCAGGCATGGGAGCCCGCGCGAGCGGGACGGACAAAGCTCTCCGGGAAGGGGGGGGGAGGAGAAGGAAGGTATTAGCGGCGACATGGGTGCGGGTCACAGTCACTGCAGTGTCCCCCCAGCCGGGACTTAAAATGCGCCGCATGAGCTGAGTGCTCGCTCGGACGCACGCAGGAGTGCGCTCAAGTCGTCTCGACAAATGCCTGTCCTCCAACAGGGCTGCCAAGTCTAGTCAACTGGAGTATTGCATCGTTGCAATTTGGCCGGCAGCCTCTGCTCGACCGCCCTGGGCAACGAAATGCACCCTGTCCAAAGTGGTGGGCCCAGCAATCACTTACGCGTAACTCTTTTTAGTAATGAAGCAGGCTTTCGCTGCGCATACTTCAGTCCCTCCTACACCCACCTTGTTCAAATGGCAAACCAAAGTAGAGGCAACTGAAGATGGACGCGAATGCAATGGCTGACAGTTTACCAGCCCATCAGCGCGTTCCACAATCACCCTGGTCCCTACTCCGGATGCACCAGACTACTTTGGTAGATATCAATGCATAGTGCCCCGAAATGTCACATCAGGAAAGTGGCATTGCAGCTGCACTCAGTCCTGGAGCAGACCGAGTTACCACGTAAGCTGGCAACCCTCCAACCGACGGCCCGTCATTATAGTCCGATAAACTTGGTGAAGAAACCCATGCCATCCCAGCATGAATTACCACCGCATAGTTGTCGAGATACAGTGGAATCAAGTAGCGATGACAAGGATCAAAATCTCAACGAAAAAACTATCCTTCTACCCTCTCCGGCAGTGAGCCCCTGGGCAAAACTGTCAACTGAATCAGCAACATCATTGGAACTG